CCTCCATGATGTCACAGACACTACCAGTGGACAGGATGGGCGGGGCTCAGTCTAGTCATATTTATATTTTAGTCTGTGAAAAACACAGAGAACTGTTTTTTCTTACTCTTTGACATCAAATAAGTCTTAACCTTTCCTATTTTAGTTTTCTGTTTCTATTTGCTAAATGAACAAATAATGTGAGAATGTTTTATTACCGTATTCAAAGCCATGAGTTTTTATCCATTTTCTTATTATTTGGGAGAATTGTCATTTTAATGTATGACTTGTATCAAACATTTTTGGGTTTTCTTTAGTAAGCTTCTCACAATAGTTTTTCTTGTAGTTGTGTCCTTTTCCTGCTGACAGAACTGTTGTAATTTTATCAGATTTGTAGCAGCCTTGCTCCCACACTCTCTCAACCTTTTTAATGGGATATAAATTCAGGCTTTGTGATGGGCACTCCGAAACACTGACTTTGTTGTCTTCAACTTGCTTTGTTTTGCATTATGCTTAGACAAAGTGCATTTCAGCTAACCTGAAGTAGCCATGAATTCATCTACAGTAGATCACAATGCATTGTTGAATGCTGACACTGAGCCTGCATAACATCTGTCAAATGGCCTGTTGACAGCTAACCTTTAAAATCCTCCATCAAAATATGGTAAATGCTCAAATATCTGTCAAGTGAGGATTTATGGTCGGGGGGTCTAGAACAATATTAATGGGGTGGCGAGACAGGCAGGAAATGTTAACGGATGGCACTGTAAGTACAATTATATCAGCTGGTCAGTGGAGAGGTGTGGCCCATTGCTGGGCCTTCTCTACCTGATCAAACCTCAGACCTACACCTCACATTTTGATGTGCACAGAGATAAAACTGATAGCAACTGCAAACTCAAAATGCTCAAAATACTTTTTATGATTCTCTGCAACCAAATACCCATGCATCCATCCCACAAGGCCAGAAACTTTGGAGAAATGCTGTCTTTCCTGCCTTTTGCAATTTCACTTTATGACCACTCATCTTTGTGGAACAAATGAACACCAGTAGCGTTATACAGGGTACCTGCACACAACTATAGTAATAATGTTGTAATGTACTCCACAATCATGGCACAGTATGACTTTAAATATGTAAATATGTGTACCCTGCCATCTCTGCACTGCTTTTGTCCCAATTTCTACTCATCTTATGTATTTGTTTGTTACTCTGACTGTTTTTATTATATATATTTGAACTAATTTCCCTAAAGAAATCAATTATTTTCTCTATTTGTACAGATAGAGGAAAGTACTGTGGTGAAACATTCTGGAGTGACGTCAAAAGGTCGATCAGAGTTCGTCCAAGAAATCCACTTCCAGAAGTTGACGCCTGGCAGCATCGTTGCCTTCAGGTAACTCAGAAAAACACACACAAGTTCACCCTAAACCGCTGAGCATCAGTACTGCATGCATGGCAGAAAAAGTCCATATTGAGGCTAAATTGTGATTGGTTAATGTAAAACTGTACATTTTCTTTTCTTAACAGAGTCAGTTTGGACCCTAAAGCTCAGAAGATTGTGGGTGTGTTGAGGTTTTATCTGTCCCAGTTTAGTCCAAAGTACAGGAGAGGTAGTTTACAAGATGAAAACCCACCAGAGATACTGAAGAAATCCCTGATACAGTGAGTACATGTTTCTACTCACTGAGATACAACCTGTAGTTTTAATCTAAAGTGAGATCCTGTATAATATTATACTTTACTTCTTGTCAGACATTATAAGTAAACAGCAGGTCTGTACGGATGAGATCTTTCTCAGCACTGAGAAGATTACCAGTAGCAAAAAACACTTAWGTGTTTTTAAAAGCACCTCCAGGTAATTTAGTGTTGTGTTCATTCAACACAACTTGTAACCAACCCTTGTTGACAAACCCCACACATACACATGCAGGCGTATTTATTCAATTATAATACGTAAAATTAAATCCATAAAATCATCCATAAAGTTGGGGGGTAGTATTATACTCTGATAAATATTTTTACTTATGTATTTTAACTGAAACATTGGCTTCATTCACAAAATGCCTGAGTCCAGAAATGAGACCACGACGTAAAAATCAGTTGAAGCGAGCTCACCTCTGACACTCCTCTGTGCTTCAGAGTGAGATAATAACAGATCCAGGCAGGAGACATGATGTGAAAAAAAG